TTCGTTTACTGTTTATCTGTTTAAACAATTGAACTTTATTCGATAATATAATTTTTCTGCTTTCACATTAATTTTAAGAGTCATAAAGTCCAAAATTACAATATCCGCATCCATATCTATCAGTCATTGAAAAACTATCATCTTATTCAAAAGACATGCAAAGTTGACAGTATCTACTAAGAAATCTCTTTAGGAAAACATTTTCATTGAGCGACTGCAAATCATTTTTTCCTGCCTATGCATGACAAATCGATTATCTACTGGCCTTAACTTTCTTCACTTTAGTGTTTGAACGAATTACTAATGTAAGAGAAAACGGAAATGCATGAAAATCTCTTCGAAATGTGTTTAACCTATATGTTCAGGTAAGGGTTAAATAAAAGTGAGGATATAACTTGGGAGGTTTTTCCGTTGAGACTCCTACGCTGCTTTGTCAATAAGGTTATCTTTGGGAGATGCTTTTCTAACCTCAAACTTGAGCGGTCGTAGGATTCGCTCACAAGCCAAAGTTAATTAGTCGAAATGGCGATTCAAAATGAGATACTTTTGGATGCATTTAAAAATGTGATTCCAAATCTTTTCTCAATGTCTGCGAAACGTTTTACAAAGAAATCATGAAGGGTTATCTTTGGCGGACATAGCCTTTATCGCCTTTTCATTATCAACCAAATCAACCCAAAACAACAACTCAAAGAGTTTCCATTTGATAGAAACGCATTACCACAATATTTAATTTCTGCGCTGCTATCTCCCGTTGAGGTAGAAAGTAGTGTTGGCATTTTCTACATGTCTTGCAAGTAATTCTTGGGAATGAAAACTTCCAAAATTTTTTCCATAAAATTGCTTCGCGGTAGAAGACATGCTTGCAATCAGCGCTTAACTGCATCTACTAGTGTGTCTCTCAATTTTAGTCGACATTATCCTTCCCATGTCAGAATACTGAATACTTCTTTCTAGCCAGGAATTTGAATGACTCTTCGACGAGGAATTCACGCCTAAAAAGGAAGGTACGTGATCCAATTATCTGAGAAAAAAAGTTAATTGAAGGCGATGAGTTTGGCAGTTTTTCAATCAAATTGCTTTTAAATGATTCATCAAACCATGTTTGAAGCAAAGAAGTAAAGATAGCAATAGAGATCCGAAAATCTTCTGCTCATCGTTTTTATGAAAACTTAGAGCTACAGTTGTTAAATTACTTCAGCGGATTGATAGAAGTAGCTGAGAGTGAAGCGATAAAAGCTGATCCTTCTGAAACCTATAGATAAGTTTTGAAATTATGAAAAAGGTACAGGTGCGTAAAATGCTTCACTTGATCTAGGTCGAAAATAATTTCCACTTTCAAAAATAAGTTAAGCTAATTTTGAAGAAAACTCGCCTTGATCCCGTCAGGTCAAACCGTTCTTGGACGATTTTCTTCCGGAGCTTATCTGAGAAAAGTTTACTTGGTAATTCGTTATTGT